TTTCCTCTTCTTTCAGTAGCCTTCAGTTTCATCATCACCATGACATGGTGTTTGCTAGAAAAGATACATTGTATCACTACATGCTACCTTCAGGACACCTACGTTGAGGAATCCTAAGCGGAGGGGATCGACTGATAGCTGGAGGCAGGGGTAACTCTGACAGAGAGCTTCTAGGTTGCTGACTTTTCTGCGCTCTTTGCTATTACTCTCCCTCCCCTCCGCTTGACTTTATTTGGCTCTCGCCTCTCCTCGGTAGTTTTTTAGGGAAATGTGCAGCATTTCTGGAAGAAAAGTCCGGAAAGTGGTAGGCACTCGGGAAAATTCAAGAAGATGGGAGGGGATCGGGGAAAAGGCCAAAGGGCTGGACGTGCCGTGGCTACCAATGCACATTTTCTGTTGAGCAGGAAGTAGATTGAATGGCAAACTCCGCTATTTTCGCTTTTCCTTCGTTCAAAACGTAGAGAACCTCAAAACTGTTGCAGCCTAGCCTTTCCATTCGGATGAGCTTTTCCTCGTTTTCACAATCGAAACATCGCCGTCGCTGTTCGCTAGACAACCACGTATATCTAACCAGATTTCTATTGCAGAACAATATGAGCTCAAGCGACGACAGTTCTTCAAGGAAATCCAGCGAGTGTCATCGGTTCTTTGGCTACGGCAAACGCATTCCAAGAGGTAAGTGTTAGTACGAAGAGACCAGATCACAAAATGATGCATGGCGGACATTGGAGTTGCTTTGCAGTGACGTCGCAAAGGCGGCGCTCGCGCGCGGCATTCGCACCAGGGACCGAATGACTTAACACAATGGTGGTAATCGAGACAGCTAGCTAGTTCGCACATGGATATAATGTCCCAACTCCAAATCTTCTATTCGAGGCAGAAATTTCCTAGAATTGAGGCGCAATTGTAACAACCGAGTGAAATAGCGGCCAATAAAATCGGTGCGGGACAGGAGATCAGAGCACACAGTACGCTTGGGTAGGTTGTCGAGAAGGAGGGTCTAGCTGGCTCTCTGGAGATATTGCGGTCGTCTTCTTGACCCATTCAAAGCGCGCTACTCAGTAAGGGAGGGGCTGTCTCAGAGAAATTCTCTCCGGCAGGCAGCGCACAGCTTGCCCTGTGTTTCCTGCCCTGGATGTCTTGCCCTCGGCGTAAGATACCAAATACTAGTGATGCAAACGTGATTCAAAAAACCCTATGACACATAAAATACGGCATAAAAAATTGGTGACGTTTGCAGACGTGAAGCGACACTGTGGTATGTGTCGACAACATGGCGTGGTGGTCGAGACACGTGGCCATATCTGCCAGTTCAAAAACTGTGAATGCGATAAGGTGAGACTTGTTATGAGACTAATGGAATCCCTCCATTTTAATCGGCATTCACAAAAATAACTCTGAAATGAGAAAATTATTGTAAAACGTTTTAGTGCAAGCTCGTCCGTAAACGACGATCCATAATGTCAACACAGATCCGCCTACGCCGCGAACAAGACAAAAGATTCCAGGTGAGAGAGACCTTCTGGATATAGCGGTGAAACTTCTCTGAAGCGGTCCACAAATAGTAACTCCTACTAGTGAAGGGTTTTTCAGAGAACAACGATTGCCTCTGAAGCCGACGTCGTGCCATCTAATGGTGTCTTTGAGCCGGAGAAGCGACACGATATCAGTCTGTGCTATTTCTGTCAAAAGTGCAAGAATCACGGAGTCCTGATGTGGAAAAAGGTAGGTTACCAATGTACATGGTCTCGTCGCCTGAGTTTGGCACTGCGCCAGCCACCGATGGTTCAAGGGGCAAGAAACGCCAATATGTCAAAATAGAACTGCCGCCGCTCCAACCCCCCCCCCCTTGATACGTTCCAGCCTCTTCAGCGAACAAGACCCAGCACCAAGAAAGGGGCACAGCATGACCTTTCGGTCATCCCGTTGCTGACATTTTTTAACAAGATTGCATAACAACCATGATCCCCGTTTTCAAGCAATCTTTCCAAAGCTGAAAAGTCGAGCTCTTCCAAAGCTCCTCGGCTTTAGCTGGCGAAGCTCTGAGCTTTTGCAGTCGGGCGCTTTGGATCTAAGCAGTTCTAGAGTTTGTCAACAGTCTAATATAAGCCGCAACCGGAAGTGGATATTACAAGGAAATTTCAGGATCACAAACGGAAGCTGCGAATATGCGAACTGTCGTTGTGAACAGTGTGATCTTATTGATACCAGGAGAGCACTGGATCGACATATAAAGAACAGCAAGGAGGCCAAATCAAGTATGGTGATCACAGCAGTCTGCCTGTATCGTAACCTCTTTTTTTCATAGAATTATGTTTGAATTCCAGCAAACTCCTCCGACTACGGCTCATCTAGTTCGTCTGAAGAGTACAGTTCTGGAAGCGACAGCAACACTGGCTCGCTGCCTTTCGTCACCATGCCGGTCTCTTTGGCATGCAGTACAAAAACGGTACGGTTTTGGCAGGGCACTAACAAGACCGACCAAGTGTTCAAAAAGTCGTTGGCCCTTAGCCATGCTCCTCAAAGGAAATGAGTTAAAAATTGCAACGGACTAAACAACCTCTCCTCCTTCGCTTGCAAGTAAACAAGAGGTGCATCTGTGTTGAAGAACTTAAACAAGAAAAGCTCTGCTGATGGCCGCCGCAACGCAGATTCCTCGGGGGTAAATCGTTAGCAAGAGATGGTCGTCGTCGCACGTCGGGGATCCCCAGCAAGGGGTGGTATTTGGTCGCTGGAGGGAGGGATGCACCTTTGCAAATAACCTTGAAAATGATGTGCCGGTTGTTGGCTTTTTTCTAGGCTATTCCATACCCCCCCTGCCCCTCAACCCTCCCCCGACGGCGGCAGTTCTCTGGGAAAGGATGCAGAATTGGAAAAAAAAACTCCGGAAAAGTCGTAAGTTGGGAAAATTGAGGAAGGTGGTAGTTAGGATGGGGATGAGGAAGGTGGGTCGTACCAGGGAAGGACATTCTAAGAGGGATAGTACTCCGCAGATATTTTCCTCAGTGGTAGGACGTGTCCTGATGTGCGGCATCGCCCGCAGGCTAGCAGACTCGGGACTCGTCGCGACAAAGTCGCCACGTTGGACTGATTTGGGTTCAGGTGCGTGTGCTGCTCATGTAACCCTGCTTGCAACGCACGGTCTGTCCGCTGCGGATGTTGGAATGCATCAGGTGGGATAGACTTCACCAACAGCAGCCCACCCTTCACCAATAGTTGTTGTTTGCCCGGCGTCAACAATTGATGGTAACTGGCTAGAGCTGCGCCATACCCCGCCTCCCTGACACGCCCCTTCCTCTGCAGCGAACAGGACCATAGTTTGTATGTGGCAAAAAAACAAATAAATGTCAATGAAAATCTCAATTTCAGATTCCTCTACTTCCAACCTCCGACATTCCTCTGCTGAAGCCAGCGATAAACACCAACGGTTCGTTGTTGTTGCCTGGCATACCTTCGGCATTCCTGCCACCTTCCCCT